CCCGCCCCTCATTACAGTCATCGTAAGCCCGCCCCTCATTACAGTCATCGTAAGCCCGCCCCTCAGGGGGCGGGCTTGCGATGATCGCAATTACGATCTGCCTGTCCAAGATGGGCAGATCGTACCTTTTTTTAAGTACAAAAGTCTTGCAAGGGTTGTAAAGTGTATGGGCACCTTTAGAAGCGAGTCTTCTGACATCAGGACTGTAAGGACTTTCAGAATGCGATTTGTGAAATGAGCTGGGCGCATCAATTCCCAAGGCAATAAAAGCAGAACACCAAGCATATATTAAAAAAAATGTAAAAAAAGCTTTGTTAAATCATTAACCACTTCAAGACCAGGTGTTTAGACCCCCTTCCTGGCCAGGCCATTTTTCAGTATTCAGCGCTGCGATACTTTGACTGACGTTTATTCCGTCATGCAACTCTGTACTGAAATGAATTGTATACCATTTTTTGGGGACAGATAGAGCTTTATTTTGGTGGTATTTAATCACCACTGGGGTTTTATTTTTTATTATAATTAGGAAAAATTACGGAAAAAATAATTTTTTACATTATGTTAGGAAACATTTATTATTACCTAGTTTTTTGGTCAAATATAAAAGATTGGGTCACGTCGGGTAAATAGACACCAAACATGTCAAGCTTTAAAATTGCGCGCGACCGCGAAATCGCAGGAAACTACCATACCCAAAATTGGCCATAGGCGACACTTTAAAAGCTTTTACCGCTCATCAGTTTAGTGGTATCAGTGATTGATGGCTCTAGAACTATTGCTCTCACTCGGGCGATATGTAACGTGTGCGGCGTGATGGGCGCAATCGTCTTTTTTGCACGTATGCGCCCCCGACGCATGTTTGCACGCGTGTATGTATGGGTGGGGACTTTTTACAAAATTTTGTTTTTTTATGTGTAACTTTAAAAGTTTTTTTTGGGGGGGGGACACTTAAATTTTTTTTCCCCCACTAAACTTTATTGCTATCACATACGGGGGCTAAGGGGTCTCCAAGACCCCTAATGTCACCTAGGACCCCCCTAAAGAAGCTGATTAAGCACAGATCTGCTCCATCAGCTTCTGAAGCTGGAGAGTGACACAAGAATGCGGAAGTGCTGGGGACCGGAGGGAGCTAGTGTACCGAGCTCTCTCTGATCCCGTGTCACAAGCGACATGCTTACTGGCGTGCCGCCACATACTGGCCCTCGCTCACTTCTCGATCCTGTGCCCTCAGAGAGCCGTGACAGGGGAGGGACTAGATTCCCCCCTCCCCTGTCCGATCCTCCAGCGCTGACTGGCGGTACGGACAGGGGAGGGAACAGCTGGCTCTGCCGCTAGATAGGCAGAGCCAGCTGTCAATCCCACAGCTGGGTGGATCTCGACAGTAATGTCGGGATCCGTCCCGGCTGCAGCGCTCTCAATGTATAGCGAGCTGTAGCTTGCGGTCACTGAGCTTTGGGTCACAGGAGGAGGCTAGTTTATGTACTCTCGTGACACTTAGGAGAACTATGTATAAACACTGACCCCATAGTTCTCCTTTAACAGGGAAAACCCTGCATTATCAAAAGCACCAGAGCCCACAGAGGGTGTGAAGTGAGCCCTGAGTCCCCCAGAAATCTCAGGGGTTCAATCACACATAGGCAATATGACTGAAGTGATAAGGTGCATGGGAAGTACCCTCACATGGGCAGGCAAAAATGAAGTTGAGAAGCCAAAAGGATAAAAAGGCAGAAAAAAAGGCCATTAAAAAAGTAGCTAGAGCTGCTCTTAGAGCTGGAAAAGTTGTCCATCAAGGGGTTATCCTGGGGCTAGCGCACACTTTGTTTACCAGTGTCCAGTCCGCCCATAGGTAGCAGTACAACTCAAAACGTATCTTAATTCCTGTGTCCCTAATCAGGCAATAAAGAAATGCATGCATCTTATATGAGCAGCTGGCAACTTTACGGGCGCTAGCATGACTTGCCAGCAAGAACTATTGGGAACAAGACCAAACATCTCAAGTAGACAGCGGGAAAGGTTCATGCTTTTCAACTACACTTAAGCTGTGTCGGTTATTTTCACGTATGTATACATGCTATTTATAGTATACCATACCATTTTTTACTGCAACCTTTAGATACCTAATGATTTTAAATTTAATGTTATCTTACATTTTTATGGAAAATATTTAACTGATTTATAACAGTTTCAGATGCATTTGGCAGCAATATAGATCTTCCTCTTCTTTTGAGAAAAAAAAACAACTAAATAAACACAGCACTATGCACAGTATGCATCAATCTGTAAACTAATGTTTAGGTCTAGTCCTGAGATACACTAAGGATTTCCCCTACTGCGTTTGTAAATAAATAATTTAATCTACTTAAAAGGAGATCATACTACTCACTCACCTGCTCGACATCAGAAGAGGGGTGAAGCTGAAGCCCCCAGAGTCTAAATTTCTGTGCCACACAGGGCATCTGCAAATGTTCTGGTAGTTCAACAATGTTGGATCTGTTTAAAATTTCTGAATTTCCATAGTCAATATAGGTGACAGAACACTAGATGTAAAAAAAAAAAATATAATATGAAAAAAAACAACCCAACTGCTAAAAAGTATATACAAAAAATACCTTGTGTCTTAAAGTGGATCAGAACACAAAAATTTAAAATTTGCCATCTTATAGAGAACATCCAACATTGTTAACTGTGCCCAAAAAAAAATGTGCATTTTGTTTGAATTCCTTCTGAACAACAACAGTGTACCGTACTTCCTGTGCCTAGGCAACACTGTACCTTGAGCCTCCACCAAAAGGGCTGCTCCCATACAGAGAAAAAAGCAAGGCATGGTAAGTTATTACCAGTAAAATGATTAGCTGCAGGAAGCCGTTAGGCAACATTGTTGTCTAATTGAGGTCCTCCAAGTAAAACCCTACACACACTGGCCCCATGGAAGAGGGAAAAAAAAGAAGAAAAAAAAAAGAAGATACACTTTAACGTGTTTTCTAGCTTTCTTTGGAATGTATGATTAAAACAGGATTCCAAGCAAGAAACTAAATACACAGATGAAATACAAGTTTGTTGTTTTACTTGCCAAAAAGGATTTGCAAAGCTAGGAAGGTGACACTTTGCTGGTTTAGCCATGCAGCTTTCTAGTGCAAATATCCATAGATCCTGTAGCACTCCTTACTGGAAATCCCAAGACAATAATGGGTGCTTGAAATAACCGCGGATGGCGCCGCACATGGAACAACTTTAAAAAAAAAAGAGGTCACCAGCACACCGAGACTCAAGTCAGTGCAAATCCATTTAATGAAATAATGTCACTCAGAAAATCCCCGAAAGCGCTTGATTTTGAGTGACATTTCATTAAATGGATTTGCACTGACTTGAGTCTCGGTGTGCTGGTGACAACTTATTTGATGCAGCTTTCTAGGTTGCCAACACACTTCCAGTCAATTTAGGAGTAAAGCTAAACCTGGAAATAGCAAGGTGCATCTCCTGGCTGTGCAAAAGTGTAACTGGCAAAAGTGTAAATAACAAAGCTATAGCTGCAAAGTTGGCATCACTCAAAGTTGGAAATGACCCAGCCCTCTTCCAAGCTAATGGGATTAGCATAATTTAACTCACTTCCTGTGATCCCAAGCAGTCATGAATGCATCATCACATAGCCTGGGCTCACAGGAGTATGCTGTACCATTTCAGCTTCATTCTCTCTAGTGCGGAGAGAACTGCCCATCAGACACCAGTGGAGAAGAGAAATGACCTGCTTGTTATAGGACTGGCTAGAAGACACCTTTTATTTGGGTACGCATTTTGAAAATCTGTCTAATTATAACATGACAATGGGTGCTAGGGGCTTCAAAACCAGAAACGGAGTGATACCATAAAATCCAGACTGGCACCATTGTCTATCCAAAGAGCAATGGATAAATCCGAAGAATTGACTCAATATAACCTGCCACAAACATTTTAACTTCTTGTAAACTCAACCACACATAAAGCTTTACCAGAGATCATTGCTCCGCCGCTGTAACTATGGACTCTACAAATCCCTGCCTTTTTCTTCTAATGAGTGCCACCATCTTGTTATTTCTTGTTACAAAGCAAAAAAATTACATAGTCTTCCCTCCAGCAGGACAATTAATGCATGCAAAGAATTAGATGGAAAGTGCGCATAGGACTCTGCTACTGCACCAAATGTCTCCACTATTCTCCTCGTATTTAGGTGAGTGCAGAGAGGGAAAGGATTAACCACACAAGATACATTAATAAAGAAGCAAACAGGCACCGTCCATGGTTTGATTGGGCACAGTGCTAACCAGGTAATCAAAAATAGGAGTGGTTTGTAATAGATAATCTGCTACACAGGCTGTAGAGTTGCCTTTTCAGCTACTTGGAAGCCTGTGGACACATGCAACCCGCACAGATGTGAAAGTTAAAAACTTGTACTTTTCTAGATTCAGGAACCTTATAGAAATCCTAACAGGAACATGTAAAACTATGTGCTTACCTGTCCATCATCAACCACATACTGCAACTTACATCTATACCAACAATTGTCTGCTGAAAACATTCCACCATAAACCTATAAATCAAATACAATGTCAGATAAATGAAGTCACCCATGACCATTGAAGAAGCATAAATGTCAATTTCCATGAGCTAACCAAGAAAACCTTGAATTTTGCACCTTAATGTAAATTCTAACATTTTCCATAAGTTTAATGCAGAAATATACAATAGGTATGCGTCAACATATCTGGAACGTTTGAGAGATAGACATTCCCTTGTTCATAACACAAGAATAGCTAGGTACCTGTAATACAATTTAAAATGTCACTATATACAGCACAGTGGTGTAGAGGTTAGCGCTTCTGCCTTGCAGCACCGGGGTCCCTGGTTCGAATCCCAGCCAGGTCACTATCTGCAAGGAGCTGCACTCCAAAGATATACTGAAAGGTTCTTCCTGTGCTTCTGGTTTCTTCCCACATTCAAAAAACCTGCTAGAAGGTTGCTGTCTAAATTGGCCCTAAATGAATGCATGCAAGATAGGGACCTTAGATTGTAAGCTCCTTGGGACTGATGTGAATGTGCAACTATGTAAAGCTCTGCGTAAATTGTCAGCAATAGATAAATACCAGTAATATTATTATTATATTAAAAACAGAGCACATGAATGACCTAATGGCACCAGATAGATCTCACACCACCTACAAAATCTCCCCTCAAAAAATGTGATGAGGTGTTGCTATGCCAGCTACAAAGTAATTCACAAAGGAGCAAGTGGAAAACGGTCTCGAAAAGAACAACTTTTATAGGTGGGTGCGCTCCCTCACTGAGAGAAGGACTTGCTTCTGGAGCTGGTGGATTTTGGGCCCAGGTTACAAGGGAACAGAGTTCCAGACTTTGCCTCAGAGGCTTGGGTAGAAACAAAACTCTTCATATGCTTAGGAGCAGTGTTTGACTTCTTAAAGGGTACTCTTCCCACCAATGCCTCCTGGATAAAATTGTCTAGGGATTTGCCAAAGAGGTGTTCCTGTTCAAAAGGACACAAGACTAATTTCTTGCACTGAACCTTCTCAGAATTACATTTGAGCCAAATGGTCCCCTACATGTGTATCAAAAGTAGGCCCATTCCGGATATTTGGCAAACAACATTCCCTAGCCTGTGAACACAAGAATGGGTCACAAGAAAGAACTCCAGTTGTTGGGAGGACAGAAAAATCAATCAGGGCAGAGGGATAGAACCAGGATCCTGAGACATTCCCTTGAAGCAGACAGCCAAGGTCTGGCAGATGGACATGGCTTCAACAGCAGGTTGCAGAGCCTGCAATTGAAAACTAGGGCTGAAACAACTGATCAATAAAGTAATTATCGATTAGTTGGGCTGCTTGCACCCTCCCTGCCTCATTCACATGCTTGTGAACATTGATTTTTCGGGTACTGCGGAGGACCCACGGCCTTCTCCTCCCGTGGATGATCATAGTGGACAGGCTGAACAGAGATGTGGAAGTAGTGTTTACTATGTGTTTGTATTGTGTGCCGTATGTGTATCATGTGTTGTTTGTGTACTATGTGTGCTGTGTGTTTGCGTATGATGCGTGTGTGCTGCGTGTGTAGTGAGTAGAGTCAGTGGCATAACAACCGGGCAGAGGAAGACTGTGCAGCTGCCCGGGCACAAAGAGGGGGGGTAGGCCGGAAAGGCAGCGAATACATTTAGGGCCTGTTCACACCCATTTCCAGCACGGTTAGTTGCGGAAACGCACTGAATCGCATAGTGGAAGCCTCCCTGTGTTCTAGGGTGGGAGGGGATGTGGCGGGCCATTCACTATTTTATTACGGTCACACCGGACCAGAACACGGGCACTGCTGTGCCGCGCATTCAGGTGCGGTCGATCGCACTGCGGTTGGGGGACTGGTCCAACACCCCCCCTTAGATTTTTCATCCTTTGCGTCAGACAACATTTATCCTGACAGGAACAGTGACCCTCAGTGTCTGTAGCCTGGGTGCTGCCGGCCGATGAGTTGGTAGCGTGACCAATCCCCTATGGCAATTGGTAATAAGCACCACCAGGAGAACATCCTGCGGGCCACCCTATGTATGCAGAGCCGTCGCAGCCGGTCCTACTGAATCAGGGAACTGCCTGTGCTCTCAGGCATGCACTGAGAATGAGAAGGGGGCCTACAAGAATCTACAGTAAATTCACCCAGGCAGCAGCTTGATTGAATGATTTAAGATCAAAAAAGTCGAATGAGGAGAAAAAACGCCTAAGCTAAATATAAAGAAGACGACTTCTAGGTCCTAACTCCCAGATGCTAAGAAAAAAACGGAGTTGATTGTTGCAGTCAGGGGGTTTGGCTGTCTTTCTTTGCCTAGCGTCCTATTCCTGCAGGTGATATAACCCATTGGTCAGGATCCTATGGATCCAACAGAAGAAAAAAAAAAAAGTTCTCACACCCACCGAGACACACGTGTTTTTCTAGGGATGCACCGAAATTTCCGCCGAAAATGGCACTGTTAGCAAATTGCCGAATATGCCATGACAGCCAAAAATTCAGTGTATCCCAGCTTCTTTTCTCCCCGCTGGGCGCTAATATGTGCTTTCCGATTAAAGAAGAAACTAACATGGCCATGAGGGAAGTCGGCCTAAACGGTACCTTGTCCCTATAGGAAACCTGAAATGGTTCCTTGCAGGACAAGGCCACCAGTTCAGACACTCGTCTCGCAGAGGTGATGGCTACAACAGCTTGGGGAGCAACAGCTTATAAGGATGCTTCCAATCTCCATAAAGAAATAGTTGATAAAGTAGGTGCTGATGATGCTGCCATTGATGAGACACGTTGGCTGCATAGACACGCGGCAGACGTTCTGTTCGAGGAGACAGTTGTTTGGTGCATATATTTATCTCTTTGTATGTGGGTTGCTCATTTAACCACTTGCTGACCAGGGTGTTTACACCCAGTTTCTGTCCAGGCCATTTTTCACTATTCAGCGCTGCGGTACTTTGACATTTATTAAGTCATGCAATGCTGTACTGAAATTAATTTTATATAGGTTTTTTTGGGGACACATTGAGCTTTCTTTTAGTGTTGTTTAATCCCCACTGAGGTTTTTTATTTTATAGATCGAAAAAAGTACCGAAAAAAAAAAAAACACAAATAAAAAGTTTTCCCTTTATTATGTTATGAAACATTTATTATTCCGAAATTTTTTGATAAAACATAAAAGACGGGGTCAAGTCGGTTAAATACAACAGCAAAAAGTTTCCCAGCACACTCACCAGCCAGCACGCAAAAAAAACCTTGTCTCACCGCTGAGGTTAAAAACAGAGGTTTAGATGCACATCTCCTGCAGAAAATGTGAAAGCCGCGCCAAGGCACCTCTATATAGTGCGGTCCTGATTTGGTGCTGCGACGCATGGGGGTCTCAGCTGCCGTTGTGATGTGCGGGGTCCCTTGTGCGTCCCTATGCCTTTAAGGGAGGTTGGGCTTCCTCCTGACAAACCTGCACCCAATTTGATATTTTGCTACATGTGCTCCAAGATGGAGACTCTCATAGTTTAGAGTTAGGACCGCACTATATAGGAGGTGCCATGGCACGGCTTTTGTACTGTATAAAGTCCTGCCATGTGCACCTTGCTGAGTGCGTTTGCCATTTGTTTTGCTTGACGTTGGTTAAATAGACACCAAGCATGTCACGCCTTAAAATTGTGCACGCCCGTGAAGTTGCAAAAAACTACCACACCTAAAATTGACGATGGGCGACACTTTTACCGCTCATCAATTTAGTGTTAACAGTGATGGATGGCCCTAAAAGTATTGCTCACTCTGACGTTCGCGGTGATATGCAGCGTGTGGCGTAATGGGCGCAATTGTCATTTTCTTGTGTAGCCGCGTGTATGTGGGGAACTTTAAAAAAAAATGTCTTGACTTTTTTTACCCAGAAGCCCACAGTGCAATATCAAATTACAGTGACAGGTCCACTTTATGGAGACATGAGGGGTCTCCAAGATATGATCTCCCTCCAATCTCCCTGCACAGAACCAAAGTTCTGGTCCTGGGCATGCACAGAGCACAGGGAGTCCGGGATCGCTGCAGCGGAGGGGGGCGCACAAAGGCTCTACAGATGCCAGACCGCTTGTCTGTAAACAGCCATCGCTGGCTGTTTCAAATTTTGAAAGTTTCCCGTGCACAGGTACAAAGGACGTTTTAGGATGCCCACCCACAAGGCTCCCGTCCGGCCGTTTTGCTACATTCGGCGGACGGAAGTAGTTAACCAGTTGACATCCGGGGTGTTTCATTACCCAAAATTGGCCATAGGCGACGCATTAAAAGCTTTTACCACTCATCAGTTTAGTGTCATCAGTGATTGATGGCCATAAAATGATTGCTCTCACTTCGTTCGCTTCAATATGCTGGCGGCACTCGTGATTGGGGGGGGCGCTCCGAAATTCACGCCATACAACCGATCGGTTGTATGTGAAACAGCCGTTAACGGCTGTAGTAACGAGCGGGTCTTTCCTGCCCGTGCGCAGGAAAAAAACGCCATCTGGCGACGGCAGCCCGTTGATGCGAGTCTGCCGTCCGTTTTTTCTTAACGGGCAGACGGCAAGAGGTTAATAAAGGGTATTTTACACTAAGATCATTCCTTTGCTTTTTCCTCATTGGATGGGTGTGGTGTAATATGTAACAAGGAAAACTAATGTTTGTGAGGAGATTTGGATAATTCTGTCTTCGTTTGAGGCACAAGACCTTCTTATTCAAGATGTCACACATCCTTTGGCGAGTGTCTACACAAAAGGGTTAGGAGTTTTTTTTCCTCATGGAGGATTTTATCTTGGTCCACGGTTTATGGAATGGAATATTTGCTTCCAAAGCCATCAGTTAAAACAGCTTTAAATAATTCTGATGCAGCTCTAATTTTTTGAGGAACACAGATTATGAGAGATTTAACCAACACTGAACAGACCATGCACTACACGCAGCTATATCAGGTGGTCAAATGCCAAGCAAACATTACTGAAGAATATACAAAGCATTACATGAATGCACATTTATAGATCATACCTTGTCAAGATTGGGGATTCCAAACACAGGGCTCATGGTAGGGCAAACCGTGGTTAAAGTTTCACTGATCTCCGAAATCTCATGGATTCTGTTAAAGGACTAAGAAAACAAAGTCACCAAAGTCACCATCTTTCGATACTCTGCGTTCAGATAAAACTATATTGTTTTGGGGCCTAAGTAAGTTGCAAGAAAAAAATAAAAATAAAGAAATGCACATTTTAGCATGTGTGTGAAAAATGAAAAATTGGATCCGGCAGCGAAAGGGTTCAAATTAGGGAAGTCCCGATACCACTTTTTCAATTTTGTTACTTAACTTTATTGCCATCACACAGGGGATAACAAACCCGTGTGATAGCATTTGGAGGTGACAGGTACTCTTTACTCACCCTGTCACAGTTACACCCATATTGGCGGATGGGAAGGACCATTCCCTGAAAGGCAAGTATAGCGAGAGGGGGAGGGGGCCAGATTTGAGCAGGTAATTCATTTTTCCAAATTACAGTAACACCTTGGTTTACGAGCATAATTCGTTCCGGAAGCATGCTTGTAATCCAAAGCACTTGTATATCAAAGCGAATTTCCCCATAGGAAATAATGAAAATTCTAATAATTCGTTCCACAACCCAAAAATATTCATATAAAAATGTCTACAATACTGCACTGTAATATAATACTGTACAAAATATAAAGAAAAATAAACCAATTACCGGTACCTTCGTGGCTGGTGTGAGGGAGACAAGAGAGAGGAGGATTATTGTGTAGGACGACTTTCACTATCACTAACGGAATCACTGCTATCTCTTGACTCAGTGGAATCTTTTTAATTTCGTGAAACCTTAACAAGGAATCTATCCAATGTGACATTGCATTGTGTTTAAACAGACTCATCGCTCGCACTGCTTCAGCCTTATTCGGGTGGCGCTTTTCTACAAAATTTTGCTCTTATTGCAAGACATTTGCTTGTATATCAAGGCAAAATTTTTCAGAAATGTTTGCTTGTCTTGCAAAACGATCTCAAACCAAGGTATTACTGTATTGGGAAAGTAAAATTTACCCTTTAGGGCTGGTGCAGACTTGGGCAATCGTGTGCGGTTGCATGCGGCAGTTGCCGCGCGGCCCCATTGATTTCAGTGGAGTTACATCCGTGTGGCAATCACTGAAAAAAAGGTACATGTACCTTTTTTTCGCAACACGCACCATGAAGCGTTTTCAACTGTGATTATGTCTGATCTGCCAGGCGTGACTGGGGTGCCATTACACAATAATGGCACCACCAGCGCGATCGGCGTTGGTGTGCGATTCTGTGACCGCTTTTACATGCTGGTTTGTGAGTGTGCCATGATGCCTTTCTACTGTTCTACTGTTCAAAGCCCATTTCGTGTGCACTTTACTGTATAACTGGTAACAAATTGTTGAGTGCGTTTGTCGTTTGTTTTGCTCTGTGACCGCTAGGCCATCCACATGATGCCGTGCGGTAACGGATCGCCCACTCACAAACAATACCCCATGCATGCAGATGATGGGTGCAGCGGGGGTTTTTAGTTTACTTTGTAATATTGGTTATTTTTAATTCTCATTTATTTTTTAATCTATCGCCTTTTTTTCCCATTTTTATGTATTTACATTTTTAAAGGTGAACTATGGGGTCAGGGCTTTTCCCCATAGTTCTCCTAAGGGTCACGGGAGAACACAAACTAGCATTACCCAGTGACCCAAAGCTCAGTATAACGCGAGCTACAGCTCGCGGTATACTGAGACGCCGCAGCCGGGACAGATCCCAACAATACTGTCTGGATCCACCTAGCTGTGCCCTCCCCCGTCCATTTCGCCACTCAGCGTTGCAGGATCGGACAGGGGAGGGGGGGAATCCCTGCAGGGAGCCGTGAGTGACAGTCGCGGCTCTCTGCATGGATAGATCGAGAAGTGAGAAAGCGACGGTATGTGTTCGTTCAATTCCCGATCTACTGAGCCGACCTGTGACAGTTTTATTGTCACAGGTCGGCTCAGATTATGAGGCTGAGTGAAAAATCACTCACCTATTAGTTCTCCTTTGTCATTTTATTTTTTACCACTTGACTTTATTGCTATTACACAGGGGCTAACAAGCCCCTGTGTAAAAGCATTTGGAGGTGACAGGTTCTCTTTATTGACACATAGGAATTCTAGCACAGCACTGTGCTCGTTCTCCTGTGACAGGAAGGCTGTATTCCTGTATCACTGCACACATGGAGCTCCGTGCGGTAACCTAATCCAATTTGCCTGGTCCCGGGTCCCCCACAAGAGGGAGGGACCCCGAAGACCACGGCAGAAATTAAGCCAGCATGCAGCCAGAGGCAGCCGGGAGAGGTACATGGTCGGCCCCCAGGAGATAAGAGAGGGGAGGGGGAGGAGGAGAGGGGGAGCGAGGTGAGGGGAGTGAGATTCAGGCTCGTTACAAGTGATTTTGGACGGCTGTACAGCCGTTCAAAATAACATGTACGAAACGGCTCCCACACTACATTTAGCCGTGCTGCTTGAACGCAGCCGGGCTAAATGTAGAAAAAAACTACTCGCCCGAAACTGCCTGTCTCGGGCGATAGGAATTCCACACCCCTGGGATAAATAGATGATTGTCACCAGAATACACATAAAGGGCATTTTTTTTAAAGGACAGTGATCCCTGTCAGTGGAGAGAAATCTTCCTATTGAGGTAAAATACAGCAGTAAAAACCTGACCGAGGTTCTAACCAATTTAACACAACCCAAAATAAAGGTTTGAGTTGAAGCTACCCTTTAAAGGGTATGTATAGTCGGAATGCTTTTTTAGGATACAGTAGGAGAGGGTTAAAACCAATATACAGGTAGTCCCTGGGTTACATACAAGTTAGGGACTTTAGGTTTGTTCTTAAGTTGAATTTGTATGCAAGTCGGAACAGGTACATTTTTAAGTGTAACTCCAGCCAAAAAAAACATTATTTCGTTTTGGATAGCATAGGGAAGGGTCACGTTTGTTTTGCTGTCTGTTCCCCTTGTTCAGAAGATTATAATATAATTAAAAAAATGTTTTATTTAAAATGACACCAAAAAAAGTTTTTTATTTTATAAAAACTTTAATTTTTTTATTTGTTTGCATTTGTAATTTTTATTTATTTTACTTTTTTTAAATTTTTTTGTCTTTTGTATTTTATTTTTCTACATTTTTTTAATTTTATTTTAATGCTCTGAGCAATAGCCAGACTGCTATTGGATATTTCAAATTGCAATAGCCAATAACAGGCTAGCTATTGCATCTGCCCACTGCCTGCTGTCAATCAGCAGAGGAGGGGCCTGATGGAGAAAGTTCTCTATCAGGTCCTCCCGTGCTGATTGACAGCAAGCAGTGGGCGGGTACAATAACCGCCTTGCTATTGCATTTGACAATATCCAATAGCAGGCTGAGTATAGCTCCCAGCCTGCAATGGAGGAGACAGCGAAGGAGCGGCCGGACTGGCGAGCAGATGATACTCCGGACCGGGGGAAACCGACGGATTAGCGGAAGAGGAGGCCGGGACATCAGCAGAGGTAAGGGGGGCAGCGGCAGAATGCAGCGGTCTGTGTCCCCGCCAACACAGGCGCGGTGAGCAGCGGGGACACAGGCCGCTGCAGCCACAGTTCGGCTGCCGGTACATTTAGGAGAACTGTTGACCCCGTTCGTAAGTAGATTGTCCGTAAGTCGGACGTCCGTAACCCGGGGACTGTCTGTACAGATATTGTTGATGCCTGCGTCCTGCTTGGGATATTTCATTTCAATTCTGTATTGGACGCACAACAAAAACAAAAAGTAAAAGTAAATCTCCCCAAAGTGATGGAAATGCCCATCTGAGACAGTTTTCACCAGAACAAGTGTCCCACTGGAAGACTTCCCCTCTCCTCTTGTTCTCATGACAACTCTAAAATGTAGAGTTTCCACTTACTTTCAGACAAACAGAGGAGTGAATCTTCCCAGTGGGTACACAGACCACAATAAAAATTTGGCAAAGAGTCCAACCCTTCCCTACTATATCCAAAACTAATTAAAAAAAACTTTGTTTTTTTATGCTTTTAAATACAATTTAATGACTGAAAAGTGATAAGACTTAAGAGTTTGCAAACTAGTACCTAGAATTAGACAAAAGGTAATGTATATGGTTATTCAGGTTTGGAAATAGAAAAGGCAGCTCTTTCACTGTAATCATAGAGGATAAGCTCAAGCAGGCCGACCACCTGGTCTACGGCCAGAAAAGTGCCTCCAAGACTTTGATTTCTTTCTTTCCAATGAAAGTAGCACACTTATTGTCTACCATTTTGATAGGTTTGAGAGAAATGGCTAAACCTCATAAGTAGAAAACTCTTATAAATGGATATGAGCCTACCTGTCCCCAAAACGTCACAGCATCTTCCACGTGAGACACAAACACATCCTCTACTGCAACCGAAACCCATATAGGAAACAAAAAACACAAAGATAAATATTTGAAGCTGATCTTTCGCCAATTTTCATTCTCTGGCTAATATTTTCTCTCCCGCCTCCTGCACAATCGCACATAAATACTGGTTTTTCGTACAGTAAATGCCTTATTTTGCTGGGACACCCCATTACTTCCTTATTCCTTCCCTAAGCAAAGGTGATGTAATTCTCAGCTGCCCGCAGCCCCTTGGAATATGCACTTTACAATCCCAAGAGGCATTAGGACATTATACTAATATTTACAGTGTTCCTGCATCATGCACAGCAGCAAGTCATCAGGGGACAAGAAAGTGACAGCCACCTTCTGAATCCAACATGGCCGCGCAAAAAAAATAAATATGAATATAAAAAGATAAAAATTGCAGGCCCAAGGAAGACAACGCTGAACTTCATGGACTAGCAAGTACGTTTTTTTTTTTTGGGTAAGGATGGGATTCCCCAATAGGGAAAGTACTTTTTTTTTTTTATCAGATACTTCTTATTTTTAAATATTTTCCTCCAACAAAACATCCCACAAAAAAACATAAAGAAAAAAAAATACAATTGAACAATACACAAATAAAACATACCAGCTAACATAAACACAAAAGCAAATACATCAACCACCAAATATACAATTTAACCGCTTGAAGACCAGGTGTTTAGATCCCCTACCTGGCCAGGCCATTTTTCAGTGTTCAGCGCTGCGGTACTTTGACTGACATTTATTCCGTCACGCAACGCTGTACTGAAATGAATTTTATACCATTTTTTGGGGACAGATAGAGCTTTATTTTGGTGGTATTTAATCACCACTGCGGGTTTTATTTTTTACTATATTCAGGAGAAATTACTGAAAATTTTGAGAAAAATTATGCTATAAAAACAACTAATATTACCCACTTTTTTGGTAAAATATAAAAGACGGGGTCACGTCGGGTAAATAGACAAACATGTCAAGCGTAAAAATTGCGCGCACTCGCAAAATCGCAAACAACTAGCATACCCAAAATTGGCCATAAGCGACGCTTTAAAAGCTTTTACCGCTCATCAGTTTAGTGTTATCAGTGATTGATGGCCCTAGAACTATTGCTCTCATTCCGACGTTCGCGGCGATATGTAACATGTTGGATATGATAATGTATCCATCTAGACCAGGGGTCAGCAACCTTAAACACTCAGAACCATTTGGACCCATTTCCCACAGAAAAGAAAACACCGGGAGCCACAAAACCCTTTTGACATCTAAAATGAAGATAACACGGCATATATCGTTTTTTACATTTATGCTGTGTATAGCGTGTATATTAGGTATATGTGGGCTTGGTAACGCACTGGACTCTGGCCTTGGTAACGTGCTGGACTCTGGCCTTACCCAAGACCCCGCAGAGCCCACCTGAGAGTGACCCAGCAGCTATTACAGTGCAGGGGTGTGGAAATAAAAAAAAAAACTACTTGTCCAAGGACTAAAGCGGGGGCCAAATCTATTTGTCCCTCATGACAATCTACTTGTCCTGATACAAAAAAAATTATTTTAACCAAAACCGTATTTAGGAGTGCTAAGAAGCACTTTTACTTGCTGCAATACCGCCCTGCCCGAGCGGTTGCACACTATTGCAGTTGAAAACACTGCGCGTTTAGTCGCATGCAGATGGGGACAGCGGGACTGGTTTTCATTTACTTTGTAAACATTTTTCATTTGTTTTATTATTTTTCCTTAATCACCTTTATATTTAGTTACATTTTTAATTATTTTTTACTTTTTCATTTTAACTATTTAAAAAAAAAACGTAACTGTATTGCTATCACACGGAATAATAATCCTGTGTGATAGCATTTGGAGGTGACAGGTACTCTTTATTGACCCTGTCACCTCCAACACTGGAGTTCTAGCACAGCACTGTTGCTTGAACCCCTGTGATAGGAACAAGCAGCGGCCACCGGGTACAGAGGCTGAGGGAGGTGACAGAGCCTGTCATAGCTCCACTGTCTGGCATTGTCACTGCTCCACGCCCTCCGCTCCGTCCCCAGCGCTCAGTCCCCTCGCTCCATCCCCGCCCTCGGCGCTCATTTAAGAAAAAAAACACAGCCCTGCTACTTGTCCATAGCAGGGCTAAAATAGTGACAAAACAACTTGCCCGGCGCCCCGGAACTACATGTCCCGGGCGTCGGGCGATACGAATTCCACACCCCTGCAGTGCCTGTGTTTACATTACCTTTGTTATATGAAGATTCTCCATCCATGTTGCAAAGCTATTTAGGAGAGAGAAAGCAGAAAGGCTTTAAATGAAATGTGACACGTTTCGCAATCAAATAACCAAAACATTTATGAATAGTAAAATGAAATAATTTTTAAAAAAAACTTGTCTAAACACAATAATTTTTGTAGTATTAAACGGTAGGGCAGGTTAGATCTAAATACAGTTGGGCAAAAAAGTATTTAGTCAGCCACCAATTGTGCAAGTTCTCCCACTTAAAAAGATGAGGCCTGTAATTGGCATCATAGGTAGACCTCAACTATGAAAGACAAAATGAGAAAACAAATCCAGACAAAATCACATTGGCTGATTTGGAATTAATTTATTTGCAAATTATGGTGGAAAATAAGTATTTGGTCACCTACAAACAAGCAAGAGTTCTGGCTCTCACAGACCTGTACCTTCTTCTTTAAGAGGCTCCTCTGTCCTGCACTCATTACCTGTATCAATGGCACCTGTTTGAACTTGTTATCAGTATAAAAGACACCTGTCCACAACCTCAAAAAGTCACACTCCAAACTCCACTATGGTGATGCGAGGTAAGTAAGAAGACGCGCTGGCTCGAGTATAAGCCGAGGGGGGCACTTTTCAGCCAAAAAAATGGGCTGAAAATCTCGGCTTATACTCGAGTATATACGGTACTTATTTTCCACCATAAATTTGCAAATAAATTCGTTCCATATCAGCCAATGTGATTTGTCTGGATTTGTTTTCTCAATTTGTCTCTCATAGTTGAGGTCTACTTATAATGCCAATTACAGGCCTCTCATCTTTTTAAGTGGGAGAACTTGCACAATTGGTGGCTGACTAAATACTTTTTTGACCAACTGTATCACCTGGAAACAATATTTTGGTTTATGAAGCTGGAAGAGCTCATCTTTAAATCCATAACTGTGCCGAGAATAACAGGTGGTTCTGGACAGTTGTGGACCCAGCCTGTACAAAGCGCTGACAGCGGCCACAGCTGTCTTCCTGTGTTTGGATGTAATCACACATGGAGCGATTCCCCGCCGTTAAGAGACAGCTTGAATCATCTGCATTCAAACACATGCGATTGTAAAGGTGGCCATACACTTTACAACCATCGCAAGGCCTTAGTCTTGCGGTGGTGGTAAAGTAATAAAAAAAAAAAAACATACGACCTGCCCATCTTGGACAGGCAGATCGTACTTGCGATCATTGCCCCCCTGAGGGGCGGGGCTTCCGATGACCGCAATGCTGAACGGGCAGTGTGCGCGTGCGCACACCGGCCCTTTCGGCATTTGTCTCCCGAGCATCATTCAAACCAGCCAAAAATCGTAAGACAAATGACGTGCGACCGTACAGTAGAAACGGTTGCACGCCTTCATTCACATTGCACGATTCTCGTGCAGTGTATGGGCACCGTAAGGCCCCATTCACACACAAATCGGCCTGCACGTACAGCTCCGTGCGGGGCCGTACCAAGTAGTTGCCAGGAAGGACAGGGGCTGCATGCGATTAGTACACAATCCCCGTCCTTCTCTATGGGGCTATGCAGCCGTACACCGCCCTACGCTCACCTCAGTTGCAGGTCCGTAGGGGTGCGGGTGATCATATTCATACGCCGCCGGAATGGATCCTGTATGCGTCCCAGCCAGAAAACCTGCACCCCTACGGACCTGCAACTGAGGTGAGCGTAGGGCGGTGTACGGCTGCATAGCCCCATAGAGAAGGACGGGGATTGTGTACTAATCGCATGCAGCCCCTGTCCTTCCTGGCAACTACTTGGTACGGCCCCGCACGGAGCTGTACGTGCAGGCCGATTTGTGTGTGAATGGGGCCTAAGATTATTAGGGCTGCACCTAATGATTATTTCCATGAAAATAAATAATACCATCCTTAAATGTAAAATAAAATACACAAATGCCGTGTTACAAACAGAGTTGACTTCAGAATAAAGCTGCATGCACTATTTTTTGCGATACCGTGCGTTCCAGTGCGGGTGATCACAGCGTGGGTGGGAGGTGCGTTTGGGTTACCACTGAAATGAATGGTACTGCAAAGCACCTCCCGCAGCAGAATGTGTCAGACTGAAACCGAAAATGACTTGTTAACCACAAGTTAACAAGTCATTTTCGTTTTTGTTTTTTTTTAAATAATTGTTTTGGGTTTTTTTTTAAATAATTGTAGTGAAAGCATGTGGCGCTTGAATATCTTTAGCCCGGGAATGACAGCTGCCAGTGGAAAGATTCCGCAGACAACAGCTGAATGTACATACAGCAGGTAGTGGGCTGGTGCAATAGCCATTCTGCTATTGGCCATTTCAAATTTCAGAAGCCAATAGCAGGCTGGCTATTGCACCCGCCTACTGCCTGGGTGGCAGTAGCATGCTGTATAACATTTGCATGCATATGAACTCAATAGCCATCTTGCAAGATTTGAGGTGGGCAGTAAAAGTCAACCACCTATTTTTTCGCCGCATGTGTAAATTATGCTAACAGGGAGCCCTGGAGAACAGTAAAAACCTGACCTGTTCCATTATTTTCCCGCTCTGTCCAAAAAAAAGCAGAAGTGCAGGAAATGTTTTCATTAACCCTTGCAGTGGGCTACCCAAGGGTTAAGTGCTTGTTTGTGTCTAGGTTAAAAATAAAAAACCCTCCTAGCGGTCCAAGGTCCCCTAAATCACCACATCTATACAGTGTATAGACATAGGGACACTGAAGAAGATTCCAATGCTGCAGGGGGGGGGGGCACAAGCTGGAGGTAACACTATGACAGCTCGCCAGCTTGGAGCTTCTGGTGAGTAGATCTTTGTTATTTTAGCACCTAGACACAAATGAGCACCCAAAGAGGAACTTCACACATCTTCAAAACAACAATGGCACCTTTAGAAAATGTTTAGTAATGACAATCTATGAACACATACTTCTAGATAATTGCCGGCTTTGTATTCTTTGCATACCTTGTTTCTCTTTTCTTCCCCAGTCTTCTGACAGTGGCCATGTTTACTAAGGGCAGATTACTAACTCTATTACTTCCTGGATTTCTGGCACTAGGACATGTGACCATGCACATCATCTCAAGGGGGGCAAAGTGCCTTTACCTGAGATTACAGATGAGATTTCCCAGCAATGCTCTGCTGATGTAACCTTCCCAGGATGCAATGCTTTATGTCACTTACATCATCATCATCATTTCTAGTTGTGCTAATATTGCGCAACAAAAATTTGCAACTACCACCATTATATTGTATAGGGTCTTGGCATTCAGAAAATATATAATGTGTGGGGGTTTTAAGTAATTGTCAGGCCTAAAATGTGGAACATGGGTGCAAAAAAAAATGAAAAAAAGGCCTCAGTCATGAAGGGGTTAATCATCATACATAAAGGGATGCTTTGGTAGAATTTGATTTTTGAATGTAAAGGTCCGCTTTAAGGAAAATCCGTACAATATGTAAATCTGAAATCTAAGAGTCGCCATTTCTAAACTCCTCCTGTAAATTCCATCCACCTGGCTGTCTCTGACCTCAATACATTGTGACTAACCCAGCAGGAACAAAGATGGAGAAAGTCAGGCCTCCTCATTAAAGTCAGGCCTCCTTATAACAGCTCGAATACATGTAGTGTATCTGAATTTCTAAAGCACGCACATTTCCTTTTTTTTCACATTGCCAGGAAAGCAGGCATTTCAAATTTTAAAAAAAAAAAATCTCCATGTTCCTTCAGATTGAAAGGTGTGGAGGCGCCTTAACATGCACACAAAGTAGAAAGGAAGGTAGTAACCACGTGAACCTACTGAAGGATATTCGGGCAGTCCGCACCCCACTCTTCCGAGCACACCGGGCCGCGCAGCATATACAGCTCTAGTCACACTCACAGAACCAGCCATGGAAAGCAGCGCAAGGCAGAAGTCACGTGCTCGTTGTGCCCGCGATCTCACCACCGCCACGCCCTCACTCCCAGTTCTCCTCAGGGAACTCTCGCGAGAAGACAAATGTAGGACGGGAGCGGACTCCGCCCCCGCGTGCCAACTTCCTCCTCATGTCCCGGTGGGTGTTGTTAGCCTGCGGCGCACCGGGGAGAATTCTATGTGCTTGTGAGGAGAAAGTGTGCACCTATATTCTGCGTAGTTGTAATGGCAGCCCGGTCGACTCACTCCAAAATACAAGGGGGTCGCCCTGATTTTTTTTTTTCTAATCCTTATCTAAACCTTCCCTAATTCCTCTCAGTCACCAGAGAGCTGACCAGGCCCTCTTGTCAGGTGATCCCTGTTTTGTAACACAGGCCTGATATAAAGCTTTTGGCTGGACTTCCATGATATGCCATAAAGGGGAACTAAATCCACCTTTATCTGGCCTTCTCCTGGGTTTAGCATCTTAAGCCATCTTGACTGGCCGTCTTATCTCCTGCACATGTGCACACAGAAGTCCATTTCACCACCGAGAATGAGCTGCACGTGTGCTCTGAGCCATCCACTGAAAATGTGTCCACATCATTGTGTCACAACGCTCAGGTGACACTGCGGATTCCTGCGCCACCCCCACACATAGCCGCAAATCCGACGTCCAGATTTTTAGTTGCGTATTCGCACTTTTGTGCACATTTGATTTTGCGTTTCACAAAAAGCCTCAAATCATTTTCTAACTCAATGCGGTTTTATCTTTTCATAAAGTTCTGTTGTGTTTGTGTGCGCTACTAATGATTTCAGTGTTTTCATTGAGACATTAATGTTTTGTTAAACTTTAGCCCAAATATTGCGGGATGTAAACAAAACAGCAGCACTGTCCTTTTATTCTACAGGTACTGTGCTTTCAGAAAATGTATTGTTTGAGCTTTAAATTGAAAAAAGGGAAACATAGCAAAAATGATCAGGCCACCTGAGGTTAAAAGTGGAGAAAAGAGCCTGGCAGCAAAAGGGTTAAGGGTAAGTGTAAATATTAACCACTTAAAGACCAGGTGTTTATACCCCCTTCCTGGCCAGGCCATTTTTCAGTAGTCTGAGGTACTTTGGGCGTCGTTTACTCCG